GGCTGAGATCTGAGGATCGTGGTTCAAAGCCAGCCCAGGCAGGAAAGTCCTTGAGACCTTTATCTCCAATTAACCACCAGAAGTGGAGCTCTGGCTCATAGTAGTAGAGTGCTACCTTTGAGCAAAAGAGCTTGAGGACAACACCCAGGCTCTAAATTCAAGCCCCAGAATCAGCACACACACACACAGTGGAGGCTTCCCAACTCTTGTCGCTGATTCCAGCCTTTTCTCATGCCTTTCTCTTTTTCTTGCTTTTATTATTATCATCGTTAGGTAGTTGTACATAGGAGTTGCCATTTAACAGTTTATGAACACAATGTCACCCCTTTTAACATTCTCACCCATCCTTCTACCACCCCTTCCCTCACTCTTCTTAATTTTGTAGGATATACATTGGATTTTGGTCTGCATTTCCCCCCTCTTCTCCTCTTCATTCATCTACCCTTTTCCCCTTGACCTCACCCAACTTCTTCCGAGTACCCATTTTCTGGTGTTGTATTTGCTGAACTTTGAATTTGTCTTTCTAAGGAATACACTATTTGAGATCCTTTGTGAATTCTACAGACTAGAAAGAATGGCACATTGGAAGAGACTTCCAATGCAGAAACATTTCCTCATACTCTAGAAATGTTCCCACTAGAGGATGAGCAGAAAGGGTACACAAGGGGAATGACACCTGTAATGGGTGGGTGGCTGCAAAAGACTGGCTAACAGCAATAACTGATTTCCATCTGCCCCTTGGAGAGGGCACTTAGTCTCCAAAGATACATGAGCTTCCTGTTCCACTCAAGTCTTCTCTTAGTCTAAGAGGCTCACCATCTGAAGTAACTGTCTCCATGACATTAAAGGAAACAAAATAGAGAAAACATAAATCCCACAAAATAATACTGTTCTTGAAATGGAAAGTTCAGATGTCACTTAGAGATAGTCAACTCTTATTTCCCACTCCAAGGGAGAGAGAGGACCAGGAGGTAGATTTAAAGGCTCCTTCAGAGTCCTGTGTATCTCAGGAGGCAGCCAAGCATGGGAAAGGTCTGAAAGGGAAAAAATGGGAAAGGCTCTTTGCCAAGGGCCTTAAAGTCACTCTGTGCAGTCCTGCTATCACTAACATATTCCATTAATAGATATTACTGATCCATTATTAATGTTGTTAAACACAGCCAGCAGGGAAGAAAAAAATCCTTTCTGTGGGGAATATCCTGTAGTCATGAGTAATCTCAATTGATGGGTTGCATTTATTACTTAATTCCCAATATCAAATCTAAGGAAACTCTTGGTTACCAAAATTAAAGACAATAAAGTTTAGCCAGGCAGGGCAGTAATTCCCAGAACTTGGGAAGTGGATGAAGGATCTCAAGCTCAAAGCCATCCCAAGCTACATAAGTGAGCCCCTGTCTCAATAACACATGACCTGAAGGTGTAGCTGTAGCCCAGTGGTAGAACACTTGCCTAACATGTGCAAGGCTCCAAGTTCCATCCTCAGCACTGATCAAAATCAAACCCAACAAACAACATCAACAAAAATAGTTAAGAGTTCAATTCCAGTTCATTGGGTCCTAAAATGGATAAAGATTCAAATGAGGCAATCAAAACCACTACTGTGGATGTGGGACAGAAATTAGAAAAGAATCCATTGTTCTCCAGCTCCCAGTGGATCTCTTGCACCTGATCTGGATGCTCTTCTTACACCTCCTCCTGCCCTTAGGTCACAGGACTGAAGTGGAAGAATGAGCATGGAATCTTCATATAAAACATGGAACTGGCTGGGCATTGCTGGCTGAAGCCTGTAATCCTAGCTACTCAGGAGGGTGAGATCTGAGGATCATGATTGAAAGATAGTCCTAGAAGACAAATCGGAGACTCTTATCTCCAATTAACTAGCAAAAAGCTGGAAGAGGAGCTGTGGCTAGAGCACCTGCCTTGAGGAAAAAAGCTAAGGGAGAATGCTCTGGCCCTGAGTTCAAGCTCCAATACCAGCATTTAAAAAAAATGGCGGTGTACCAGTCCTCGGGGATGAACTCAGGGCACTGTTGCTGGGCACTGTCCCTAAGCTTTTGTGCTCAAGACTAGAACTTGGCCACTTGAGTCACAGCTCCAATACCAGCTTTTTGTAGTTACTTGAAGGTAAAAATTTCCTACACTTTCCTATCTGGGCTGACTTCAAACTCTGATCCTCAGATCTCAGACTCCTGAGTAGCTAGGATTACAGGTTATGAGTCACTAGTATCCGGCTCAAACATATATATATATGGATATATCTTTTTTTGGTTGTAGGGCTTGAACTGGGCCCGGGCATTGTCTCTAAGCTCTTTTATATTTCTTCTTGCCAGTCCTGGGGCTTGAACTCAGGGCCTGGGCACTCTCTCTGAGCTGCCTTTTCTCATGGCTAGTACTCTACCACTTGAGCCACAGTGCCACTTTTGGCTTTTTCTGTGTATGTGGTACTGAGGAATCAAACCCAGGGCTTCATGCATGCTAGGCAAACACTCTACCACTAAGCCACATTCCCACCCTTCCCTGAGCTCTTTTGCTCCAGGTTTGCACTCTATCACTTTGAGCCATGGCTCCACTTCTGATTTTCTGGGGGTTAATTGGAGATAAAAGTCTCTCAGAGTTTCCTGTCCAGGCTAACTTTGAACCAAGATCCTCATATCTCAGCCTCCTGAGTAGCTAGGATTACAGGCGTGAGTCCCTGGCACACAGCAAACAGATGATAGATAGATAGATAGATAGATAGATAGATAGATAGATAGATAGATAGATAGATAGATAGATAGATAGATAGATGATAGACAGATAGATGTTCCCCCAGTCCTGGGGCTTGAACTCAAGACCTGGGCACTGTCCCTGAGCTTCTTGTGCTGGCTAGCACTGTACCACTTGAGCCACAGCATCACTTTTGGCTTTTTCTGTTTAAGTGGTACTAAGGAATCAAACCCAGGGCGTCATGCATGCTATGCATGCACTCTACCACTAAACTACATTCCCAGCCCAAACTGTTATTTTTTTAAATAAGTTGTTGGATAGATGAGAAAATAAGTAATAAATCCAGCAGAGTAAAAGATTACTACAGTAAGTAAAAGGAGTTAAATATACAGATATTCACTGTACAATTCAACTTTTCTATATTTGAACATGTTAATAAAATTTTGGGGAAAAAAGACTAAAGATAGAGTTGCTAAACTATCAAAAGGATCTGTGACACACACAAGTCAGAAACCATGACCTGGAAGTCACAGCATTATTGAGCATAAGTCAGTCAGTTCTTTGATTAGGAGGTAAACTTCCTGCAAACCTCAGTGTCTTAATTCCTGTTAGGCTAGCAGCCTTTTGCTACATGCAGAAATCACAAACAATCACCCACCAAATGGAACAGATATGTTGGCCAACCAAATAGACCGGGGGTGATTCCTCTGACCTTGGAACTCTAGCCTTAACCTCAGATCTCACTATTCTCAACAGAAAGACAAGGCTCTGAGTTCAAGCCTCAGCCTCAATGCACATGCACACATACACACACCCCACCCACATACATTGAAAAGAGTTTCGTTTAGAAAGCTGAAAAAAATATTAGGATTTATCTGAGATACTATAATCAATATATATTTGTATGTGTGTGTGCTGACCCAGGGGCTTAAACTCTGGACCTGAGATCTGTCCCTGAGCTTTTTTGTTCAAGGCTAGTAGTCCACCACTTGAGCCACAGTCCCACTTCTGACAAGGGGGATGTTTAACTGGAGATAAGTGTTTCACAGACTTTTCTGCAGAGCTCAGCCTCCTGTGTAGCTAGAATTAACTGGCATGAGCCACTGCTAGCCAGCAATACTCTTACTTTACTTATTTTTATTTTTTGTTGGTCATAGGGCTTGAACTCTGGGCCTGGGCTTCAGCACAAGGCTAGTGCTCTACCTCTACCACTTGAGCCACTGCACCACTTGCATTTTCTGGTGGTTAAATGGAGATAAGCATCTCACAGACTTTCCTACTTGGGCTGGCTTTGAACTGCAATCCTCAGATCTCAGCTTCGTGAGTAGCTAGAATTACAGGCATAAGTCACCAGCACCCAGCATACTTATTTTTTTTTTGGTCGGTCATGGGGCTTGAACTCTGGGCCTGGGGGCTGACGCTCAGCTCTTCAGCTCAAGGTTAGTTAGTGCTCTACCACTTGAGCCACAGTGCCACTTCCGGTTTTCTGATAGTGTATTAGAGACAAGAGTCTTACAGTCTTTTCTGCCCAGGCAGAACCATGATCCTCAGATCTCAGCCTCCTGAGTAGCTACCAGTGCCCAGCCTTATTTTTATTTTTTAAAATAAATTTTATTGTTATTATAAAGATGATATATAAAGGGGTTATAGTTTCATAAATCAGGTAATGAGTACATTTCTTTTTTGGACAATAACACCCCTTCCTTCACTCTGTTTTTCCCTCCCATCTCCACCCACGTTATATAGTTCATTTTTTTGGGGGGGGGGTCCAGTCATGGGGCCTGAACTCTGGGCCTGGGCGCTGTCCCTCAGCTCTTCAGCTCAAGGCTAGCGCTCTACCACTTGAGCCACAGCGCCACTTCTGGCTTTTTTCTTTTTGCTTATGTGGTGCTGAGGAATTGAACCCAGGGCCTCAGGCATGCAAGGCAAGCACTCTACCACTGAGCCACCTTCCCAGCCCTATAGTTCATTTTCAACATATTATTATTAGTGTGTGTGTGTGTGTGTGTGTGTGAGTGCGCGCACGCATGCGCGCGCGCACGCACCAATCCTGAGGCTTGAACTCAGGGTCTGGGCACTATTCCTGAGTTGCTGGGGTTTTTTGCTCAAGGCTAGAGCTCTACCACTTGAATCACAGCTCCACTTCTGGCCAGGGTGGCTTCTAAATGCAATCCTCAGATCTCCTGAGTAGCTAGGATTATAGATGTAAACCACCTGGTATTATTTAAAAAAGAAAGAAAACCTGATCTATGAGATACCAATTTTACTATAAATCATAAAGAATATTTGCACAGTAAAAACAAAGAAAACTAACTTTAATACTAATGTTCCTCAAGTTTCCTTTTTTTTTAGAATACAAAGAGACTTTGGAGACAACGTGTAGTCAAAAACAATACTATTCATTTGGTGCTTCTCTAGATCACTGTATAGAAATGTAGTTGAAGTTCCAAGTTTCTAGAAGTGTGGAGACTGGTTGGTATTCTCTCCCAGTAGATGAGAAAGCAAGTTCTAATTTTCTTCAGCAAGCACACTGTCTGATTTCAGCTGGGCTCTCATGCTCTCCAAGTTCTGACGTTGGTATTTTCTTTTAAAAAAGCCACACTGAAACAAGGGAAGAGAAAGCACAATTACAGACCTAAAATATCCATCTGTTTTTACAAAACAATCAATCTGCTTGCTGCCTAAATAGCCCCAGCATCCTCTGCTTTCAGACTCTCCTTCCGACCTCCTTTGAATCTCTCCCTGAACATCAGTCCTTCCAGATCCTTCTTCATGGCTACATTTCCTGGTGCTCCTCCTAAACCTCCCACCTCCCTCTGGACACCCAGAGCGCTTAAGCCCTTTCCGCTGAACTCATTCTGCAAAGTCATAGATTTCTAGCACTACTAGATCTAATCCTGTTCATGTAAGAGTACTCAAAGCAGCCTGCCCTGCCAGGACAGAATGAGTTCAAGCAGGACCTCCTACCACCAGAACTCAGAATCCAGGAAGAAGGGCAGTAATACTATGCCATGTGACAACTGCCACAGTTGGAAGGCTGACAGGACAAGCACATAACCCAACTAGGAGGATCCAGATGTCTCCAGGCTCGGTTTTCAAGGAAGAATGAATGAGAGCAAAGTGAAAAGTGGGGACAGGCACCCTGGGAAGGAGAGTAGCCAATGCTCCAGAAGAGACATGACCTTAAGGCACTGTTCAACTGGGCTGGAAGAAAAAGCAAGACTTGGGAACACAGAGGAGCAGAGGCCAAAGAATAGAGGGTCTAGAATAGCAATAAAATAGTTTGGGCATTGGAATAGGAGAAGACAGGGAAAGAATTTTAAGACGGGAATGCCAATCAGACCTGTTTTAAGCAGCTCTGTTTTGCCTAAAGCACGGTACTGTGGTTAAAGCAAGAGAGAAAAGTGGCCGCAAGCCTAGAATAGCTTCTCTAGGTTCAAAGTTGGTCAATTAGAGGGTGCTGGGCCTAATCCCATAGCCCAGTCCTTTCTTACCCTATGAAAAAGAGAACTGACCTTGAACAGGATGGCTACAATCACCAACAAAACCAGAAGGCCACCAACACTGCTGCCAATGATCAGAAGCAAAGAAGGAGGCTCTTCACTGTTCAGGAAGATGACAGTGATCTAGACAAGGCAAAAAGATTGCTTGATAACTCGGGTGAAGAGGAAAAAAATTCCACATTATTTTAAAGAGCAAAATATGAGACCTTGGCAACGTACTGTATATTGATCAAGAATGAGGACACTGGAGCAAAAAAAAAATGGCACATTTGCTTTATGCAGCATTTTGAGTCATCTAAAATCATCTAATGACCAAAATAGTTTATCTTATCCAGAAAAGCTAACTTGTCAGGAGAGTGCGACCTTGTGAGAAAGATGCTTTGACAGTCTGAAAGATGGTCCGTTGGCAACAAAGACAGGATTCTACACCCAGCTGTGTCTTCTATGTCCTTGAGCCCCATTATCATTAGCTTCAAAGCAGTGACTTACTTAAACAATCTCCAGATGCTATCAACTTAAATCTGAAAGAGTTTTTATTTTGTTTTTTATGCTTTTACTGGGGTTTGAACTCTGGACTTCAAGCTTTCACTTTGCTGGCAAAAAGCAATAGTCTTAGGCTGGGAATGTGACTCAGTGGTAGAGTGCTTGCCTAGCATGCATGAAGCCCTGGGTTTGATTCCTCAGTATCACATAAACAGAAAAAGCCAGGAGTGGTGCTGTGGCTCAAGTGGTAGAGTGCCAGCCTTGAGCAAAAGAAGCTCAGAGACAGTGCCCAAACCCTGAGTTCAAGCCCCAGAACTAGTAAAGCAAAAACAACAACAACAAAAAGAAACAAAAACAGTAAGAGTATTGAAGATTTGTCAGCTTGGTCTGGCTTTGAACTGGGATTCTTAGATTTTTTTTCTCTCTCTTTTTCATTTGTCAGTTGTGGGGCTTGAACTCTGGGCCTGGGCGCTGTTCCTGCACTCTTCAGCTCAAGGCGAGCACTCTACCATTTGAGCCACAGTGCCACTTCCAGTTTTCTAGTGGTTTAATGGAGATCAGAGTCTCAGGGACTTTCCTGCCTGGGCTGGCTTTGAACCTCGATCCTCAGATCTCAGCCTTCTGAGTAGCTAGGATTACAGGCATGAGCCACTGACACCCAGTTAGATTTTTTTCTCTTGAATAGCTATGATTATAGGCACTGTAGCCACGAGCTACTGGTGTCCACTGACAGACTTTTTTTTTTTATTATTGTAAAGATACTATACAGGGGGTTACAGTTACATGAGTGAGGTAATGAGTACACTTCCTCTTGAACATTGCTACCCCCTCCATTGACAGACTTTTTTTTTAAATCATGCACAAACCCTGAAGGTCTTTGGAAATATATCTTCCCCAAGGGGAAAATGTGACAGGTACTGGTTGGCTCTTTATCATCTAAGAAGATATATTCCTGGGAAACAAGACATTCAAAGTTCTGTCCCTGTGTGGCTGATACCTGTGGGCTTCTCCCTAGACGTCATTCATTTTCCTCTGGCTCTGTCAGTTCTCTCTGGGCTTGGCTAGAAAACATCGGAATGTGCTTTTCTACTGGGACCCAGATGTGGCCAGAGCATACTGCAAGGGGGCAGGGCAGGAGGTATGTGTAGAGGGCAATCAAGATTTCCCTGCCTGCCAGGGACCAGTGGCACCTGCCTATAATCCTAGCTATTCAGGAGGCTGGAATCTGAGAATACTGGTTCCAGGCCAGCCCGGATCAACAAATCCAAGAGCTTATCTCCAATTAATCAGCAAAAAAAGCCAGAAATGGATGTGTGATTCAATGCTAACAGTGAGTGAAAACCACCAAGTGAGAGCAAGGATTGAGTTCAAGCAGTACCAGCATTAAAAAACAAAACAAAACAAAAAAAAAAACAAAAAAACACCTAAAGCTGGGCACCGAAGGCTCACTCCTGTAATCCTAGCTACTCAGGAGGCTGAGATCTGAGGATCGAGGTTCAAAGCCAGCCCAGGCAGGAAAGTCCATGAGACTCTTATCTCCGATAAACACTGGAAATTTACTGTATTTTCCCCTTACTTGTGACTAAAATGCAACTGAGTGTACAGCCATTCATATTTATAGATTCATTGCAAGTCAGGTGCTTACTGGCAGGAAGTACTTAGTTATTTTGCTTATTATGACAATGAACTTAAAGAAGGGAATCTATACTACAGAAATGAAGCTTCAGTAAGTGGGGAAAATATCTAAATAAGTTAAGAATATACATATAAGAAGCAATCAGAGTAATTCCCTTTGGAAAGGGAACTGGAGGTGTGGAGACAGGGAAAGTGAAGAAACCATTATTTTCCTGTAATAATTGGATTTAATAATACTATACTTTTTTTCTTTTTAATTCAAGACAGTGCAATAATGAGATACTTCTATTTTGCTTGGTGGAGTCCCAACCTTGAGTGATAAAAGCTAAGGGACAGCACCCAGGCCCTGAGTTCCAGCCCCAGTACCAGCACAAAAAAAAACATTTCCTTTTTTTTTTTTTTGCCAGTCCTGGGGCTGAACTCAGGGCCTGAGAACTGTTTCTGAGCTTCTTTTGCTCAAGGCTAGAGCTCTACCACTTGAGCCACAGCACCACTTCCAGCTTTTTCTGTTTATGTGGCATTGAGGAATTAAACTCAGGGCTTCATGCGTGCTAGACAAGCACTCTACCACTAAGCCACATTCCCAGCCAGAAATAGAATATTTCCTAAGTATTTTTCAAAGTCACCCTATTCCCAAGTGGAAGAATATATTGGTGTTGATTCCAGCCTCCTTATTTCAAGGAGAGCTCTTCAGTTCACATCTCTAATCCAATTGCCTCATTTCAATGTTGGGAAATTATGGGAGCAGCTCAACGTCACAGAGCAGAAAGATCAGAAGTAATAAGAAAATGGTTTTCTGTACAGAATCCCCAAAGGTGGACAGTTTTCCCAGGGCACCACTCAGAAACCAGCCAGGGTAAGATTACCTTAGTTCTATGGTTTTCTGCATTCAGTCCCTCATATAGAGACTTGTTGAAAGATATTTCACCAAAGATCTGCAGTTCAGTTACATCTCTCAGTAACTACAAGACAAGAAAAAGGGAAGGAAAGAAACATCTTTTAGACACGGATTTACTGTTTCTGAATAGTTTACCATCTTTCCCTTCAAAGGTGTTTCTTCTCCAATATTTGTGAGCCTTGTTAATGGACTTAGCTCCCACACAATTACTCAAAAAGGAAATGTGCAGTTATTCCTTATTTCTTTTCCCTTACCCAAACTCATTCTTGACAATTTTTCTTGGTACTAGTACTGGGGCTTAAACTCAGAGACTTGGTATTGTGCCTCAGTTTTCCCCTCAAGGCTGGTACTCTATCAGTTGGGCCATAGTTCTACTTCTACCCTTTTTTGGGGGATGGGGTAAGGGGCACAGTAGGTAGTCTCATGGACTTTCCTGCTGGCTTCAAATTGCAATCCTCAGAACTCAGCCTCCTAAGTAGCTACAATTATAGGCATGACCACTGGTATCTAGATCTTGACAATTCATTTTTTAAAAAACATACTTTCTAGCTGGGCGCCAGTGGCTCACACCTACAATTTTAGCTACTCAGGAGGCTGAGATAAGAGGATCACGGTCACGTAGGAAAGTCTGTGACACTCTTATCTTCAATTAACCACCAAAAAAACAAGAAGTGGTGCTGCGGCTCAAAGTGGTAGAGCACTAGCCTTGAGCAAAAGAGCTCAGGGACAGCACTCAGGCCCTGAGTTCAAGCCCCATGACCAACAATATAAAAAGAAAGTACTAAGCCAGCTGCTGGTCAGTCATACCCTTACAGTAATCCTAACTATTCAGGAGGCTGAGATCTGAGGATCACAGTTCAAAGCCAGCCCAGGCAGAAAATTCTGTGAGACTTATCTTCAATAAAGCCAAAAGGGGCATGCTGTGGCTCAAGTGGTAGAGCACTAGCCTTGAGCAAAAAGGCCCTGAGTTCAAGCTCCAGGACCAGCACACAAAAAAAAGAAACTACTAATGTGAGGACTGAGGGGGAAAGTAATGGTTTGCAAAGAAGTTACAAATACAATTTGATGATGTACTTGTATTTTAGCTCGTAATAGAAAAACAATAAATTCATGTTACTATTACTGTAGTATTAATCTTTTTTTAAAAATAGCTTATTTGGGCTGGGAAGGTAGCTCAGTGGTAGAGTGCTTGCCTTGCATGCCTGAGGCCCTGGGTTCTATTCCTCAGCACCACATAAGCAAAAAGAAAAAAGAAGGAAGTGGCGCTGTGGCTCAAGAGGAGAGCGCTAGCCTTGAGCTGAAGAGCTGAGGAATAGCGCCCAGGCCCAGAGTTCAGGCCCTACAACCAGACCCCCCCCAAAAAAAATAGCTTATTTTTTATAGCTTAGGCAAAACACAATGAATAATGTAGTATAATTTTTTTTTTTTGGTCAGCCCTGGGCCTGAACTCTGGGCCTGGGTGCTGTCCCTCAGCTCTTCAGCTCAAGACTAGGGCTCTACCATTTGAGCCACAGTGCCACTTCCAGCTTTTTCTGCTTATGTGGTGCTGAGGAATTGAACCCAGGGCCTTATGTATGCAAGGTAAGCACTCTACCACTGAGCCACCTTCCCAGCCCTGTAGTATAAATTTTTAAATGTTTTTGTGGATAAAACTGAGGAAAAGCATAATAAGTTTTAAAAGTCATCATAACCATAACCAAGGATCTTTACTTTGGAATTTAACATATTCAAATATTTTTATTTATTATTTATTTTTTGGTCGGTCATGGGGCTTGAACTCTGGGCCTGGGCGCTGTCCCTCAGCTCCTTAGCTCAAGGCGAGCACTCTAACACTTGAGCCATAGTGCCACTTCCAGTTTTCTGGTGGTTTGTTGGAGATGAGTTTCATGGACTTTCCTGCCTGGGGCTGACTTTGAACTTCAATCCTCAGATCTCAGCTCCCTAAATAGTTAGGATTGCAGTCATGAGCTGTTTTTTTTTAATAATATTTTTTATTGTGAAAATACCATACAGAGGGGTTACAATTACATGGGCAAGATAATGAATACATTTCTTATAAAGCATTGTTGCCTCCTCCTTTGTCTTTTGACATAATTACTTGTACATCTCATTGTTGCAATGGGTCCACCTGTATCCCTATTTAAATTATTTGTTTTTGCCCTTCCCCCCCACAAATTATGCCAACATCAAATACAATGAAAGGAAGGGTTATAGAGGGACATACAAAGCAAATATGTTAGAAATATGTTAGAAACAATTGCAAGAAAGAAAATTTGAATACTTATCTTAGGGTTCATTTCACCTAACATCAACTTATCTGACCTTTTCTGCTTGTCTCAGACATATACTAGTTATTGCAAATTAAGGAAACCATGGGACCTATGTTTCTTTGGGCCCGGCTTACTTCACTTAATATAATTTTTTTCCAAGTCTTTCCATTTCCTAACAAATGGAGT